TCTCCGCATCCGCCGCGAGGAGGGCGCGCGGAGCGGGGGCCCCCGAGGTGGCTCTGCTCCGCAGGCCTCACTCTCCCCGCCGCTTGTCACCTCTCCTCGGCCTCTGGAAGCTCTAGGAGAAAACCGGACCGCGGTTGGTGCCCGTGGAGGATGTTTGGAAGCAATTTACACTCGCACTAACACTTGGTTTAGGAGAGAGCCTTCCGCATCCGCCGCGAGGAGGGCGCGCGGAGCGGGGGCCCCCGAGGTGGCTCTGCTCCGCAGGCCTCACTCTCCCCGCCGCTTGTCACCTCTCCTCGGCCTCTGGAAGCTCTAGGAGAAAACCGGACCGCGGTTGGTGCCCGTGGAGGATGTTTGGAAGCAATTTACACTCGCACTAACACTTGGTTTAGGAGAGAGCCTGGGGGAGGGCGCGGGAAGGGCCTCCTGACGCTGCCAGAGTTCCCAGTCTCTTTGCAACTCAGATCTTGAGATTTATGGAATCGGGAAGGGAGGGCAGGGCGGAGATGAAGTTGGTGTTGCTGTCTATATATAGCCTCAGATTAGCCTCTTAATCCAGCCTTCATTCAACTGTGATGTGTAGCCCCGAGCTTCGTGGGTAAATGGCAGAAGAGGAAAGGTGAATGCAAGTGTATACCCTTACTGTGGCTCAGAAAGAAGACTTGTTTGCTAAGATATGTAGTCAGCCATTCCTCCAAGGTGAACATCCAAGCTATTGACGACATCTGTGAAAGCTTCTGTAGAAATGACTGTTTACAGGTTTACTGGTGTTTCTCTACAGAATGGTGTTGATATTTCTCCCAAGACTCATTTGTGTCAAAGAGAAATATTTGAATCATTATGTAGATGGTCTCTGTTAAGCATCCCCGGAACCACTCTTCCTTCCCCCAGTGCGTGTATAAAGTTAATGCATTTTCCTCTGGCCTTCCGCCTTCATTTTGCTTCTGAAATCCCCGGAAGATGTTTATTATTACTTGCCTTTAACAAAAGTCTCTCCTAAACTCCAGCTGCCTCCTACCAAGGCTCCAGCTTTGAGATGGGGGTAGAGTGGCAGAGCTGAGCCCGAACTTCTCACATGAAAATGGTTTAAAATTATTCGTCTTAATGTATGACAAAGAAACTTTTGTTTGGTGATGCTTTCATAATGATGTGTCTGTTCAAAGGAGTAGAAAGGCTTTTGAGAGTGACCAATATTTTGTAACACGTAGAATACTGTTACTGCCACAGTTGCAGTTGATTTATAATGTGTCACGCAAAAGGAACTCACAAATTTAAAAGAATGTGTGTGGAATAACCTCAGCCTGTGATATCTTCCCAGCAGATGCAGAGGCAGAATTGGGTGTTTCTCTTCGAGTATTTCCATCTCTAGTGCCAAATCTGAGCCATGGTTACTTGAAGGTCACACCTGTTTGTCTCACTGGGGTTCCTCAAGGATAGCAGCTTATTAACTATTTTCTTGTGCTTTAGGACACCTGGGTGGTATTTAGGCCTCTGTGACTACATCACTTCTGTCAATGTAGAGTCAATGACGTTTAACAACAAAGGAAAAACTAACATTCGCCTAGAAATTCATGCAAATCATATATGTTCAGTTTCAATTTCTAGGACTAGATACCTAATGGATACTGTTTTTCAGGTTATATTAATCGTTTGTTACAATGTAAATATTGAATGCACGGTTAAGATTCACTAATGAATATACTAGAATGTATTCATATGTTAGAATTGTATTGATAACAAAGTAGCTACTCATATTGAGTAATCTGTTCCTGATGTTATGCCAGACAGTGCATAGGATTATTCTAATCACTGTTACAACAACCCAGGAATTAGCCAGTATTATTCCCATTTATGCAAACAAGAGAACTGAAAGTAAGGAAAGTTAACTTTGCCTACAGCCCATTAAAAGTGTCAAAGCCAGAATTGGAACCTAGATTTATCTGTCTCTAAAATCATTTCCCTATATTTCCATGATTGTCTTTTTTACAGAAAAGGGAACATACACACAGTTACATAATAGAATTTTCATGACACTCTTTTTCTTGTTCAACTTCTTGGAAATAATCATTTCTGAAATGTATGAAATACTCTTACTACTGCTGCTCTAGACTTTCTCTGGCCTATTACAGTGGATTTCTAAGAAGCCTGCTTTTCTCTGACCTCTCATCCAGCTAATTCAAGGAACTCTCAATAAAAAAAAAAAAAAAAAAAAAAAAAAAAAAAAAAACATTGAGCACCCATCCTGTTACTGGCTTTCTACTGGTTATAAAATGAGGCTCCAGCTTGTGGTCCCAGTGGGCATTTCCAGTCAGCCAGCCACTCCCACATTCCAGCCCTAAGGCCACCAGGCTGTTCCCTAACCTGCCAGTCATTTCCAGACCTTTGTTTCTGCTCTTCTCTTCCTGGAATGACCTCCCTTCCTTCTTCACCCAGTCTCCTCCCCACATCTGATGAACTATTCAACTCTGTTACTTAAATCTAGCTGTTTCTCTTTGCCTTTTGCCTTCACCTCTCCTCCCCTCTAATGATTCACCATTAAACACCCTTCTTCCTGTCTCTCAATGAGGAGGTAAATAGTCTTTGCACAGGGATGGGATTGACATGGACCCAAGTCCTATTGTTGGATCCTCTAATTCTTTCTTATCTTCTTACAGGCCCCCACCGTCCTTCTCTCACCCTCTGCATTAGCATCTTGTTCAAGTATCTGGACATCCGTGAAAATGACTGAGCACTTTCTCATCACATTCTGTTACAGTTTTTATTAACTTGTTTCATGACTTCTTGTTCTAATGTAAAAATTAATTCAGCTGAATTGATCTTTATTTCTCAAGATATAACTTGGTATCTTGCACTTGGTGTGTGCTCAGTACATGCTGAACTGAATTCACTTGATCTCTAAGTTATTTTAGGTGGATTTGTTTCCCTACTTGACTAATCCTTCCTGGCAGTGTGTGGTGATGTGGCACTAAGCACATACAACCATAAGCAGAGGCAGAGTCTTTAAATATTTCGAGTCTGAGGCTTCTTGACATTCTAGTGAATGCCATCACTAAGAAAAAAAAAACGCTCCAGCACCCCTTACAGCCTTGGCGTACCGTATCTGGATGAGTCCAGTCACGCCTCTGGTCTCCAGCTCTCTCTCTGCCTTAGGAAAAGAGTTTGCTTTCTGTTGCAGGGATAGTTTGTGTGTTTTTCAAGTTTTGAGCATTGTATCTTTCAGGGTACTGTTTTACTTGCCGTTGGCTTCTTTTCTTATACTTTACGCTAGCTAGGTACATTTCCAACTGGCTGCTTGATGATATTAAAGAAATTACTTTTTTCAGGTTTGAAACAATATTATGAATATATTTTCAAACGATCCCTTATCTTTCAGAAATGTATATTGGATGCAAAGAGAGAATGATAGGCATTTGGGATTTGCTTTAGTATACTTCTGTGACATGGAGAGATAAGAACCGGGTGTGAATTTAAATGAGACAAACGCACTATGTTGTGGTTGAAGCGGGTGACAGGCAGCTTCATTCCACTCCCCCTACTTTGGGGCGTGTTTGCGATTGTCCTTGGTGAGGTTTTTCAAAGGAAAGTTTGGAAGTATTACAAACCCTAAGAAATTATTTTGTTTTTTTCCACAAAAACCTAAGGAAATAACTTGAATACGAGCATCACATCTCCATACTTGGAATGTGGCTTTCGTGGTATTCATTGTTAGAACACCCTAAATCCGCTGAGGACTGTTTTGCGAACAGTGCATTTCCCTAAGCACATCACATTTCAACTTCTCTACGAAACTAAGAGGTAGGTGACCTTATTCAGTGCTGCTTCCCAGGGTTATGAGTATCTTACCAGCAGTTAACCTCCATTTGTTTGGGAAACTGAGAAAGTGATCTCCAGACAAGTCTGAAGAAGGAGTACAGATGCATTTAGTTCAGCTAAGAAAAATCAAGTTGTGGCAATAGTGATTTTCTTCCATGCCTCCTCCCAAGCCAAGTTGGAAGGTATTCCCCCCAAAATACAAAAACCGTTATGAACAGTATCAGCCTTGTTAGGATAGCTATATTAAATCAGACCAGGCTCCGGACAAGCTGTGCTTTGTTTCTAGGCTCTTACCACGGTTTGCTTAGCTGAATCCTTACTTGGACACCTACTTTCTAATTCTTGTAGCTTTATAGTTTATTTCTTGATGTTTAAAATTTGGGGGTGCAGATGATGGGCAGCCCCATAGTACAGTGCTTGCTCAACATGCATGAGGCCCTGGGTTTGACCCCCACCACAGCCAAAATTTCTTTCTTTTGTATTTTGTGTGTGTTAAATATTTTCTAACATGTCTTCCTGAACTTT